TTCGATGAATGATTCTTATCTAACCAGTTTATATTAATATATTAATTCATATTAAAACAAAATCTTTACCACTTTCTAAACTTGTATTTAAAAACTTGAAACACTAAAAATGTAATTTTGACAAACCAACTGAAGTATTTTTTTCCTGACGGATTACCCCGGTATATAAGAAATGCCAACCTCTGGTATCTAACACAAATGCCTGGTAAGGTACCTTGATGTCTTGTGAATACATGTAATTATGTAAAAATAATTCTTCAATGTCAATTGCAAAATATTGGAAAAAAAATAAATTATTTTATTGAGGAACGCCTCACCTGTCCTTAATCAGTAATCGTAACTTGACATATTTCTTTATTTACTTTTAATCGATCTTTTTAGTAAACCTTGTCTGTAAATAATTTCAGTAAATGTACCCTTCCTTAGCTCTTCTATTTTTTCAAAGGAACATTCATCATAGACAGCTTTAAGAAAGTGGGATCGGAAATGATTGATTTCTACATAACTGCATGCACTTACTTTTTTCTATTCCACTTCACGCATTCTATACGAGTTTACCAAAACTTATGTGATAAATCAAATTCAAAATTAAATTAAATTCAGTTAAATAAAATTAAATTAAAATGGAATTGCGTTCACCGTGCTGAAATATTAAATTAATCACACAGAAATACACATCTAGTTATTTTAATTGTTTGAAGTTAATTATTTTGATACAGCATGTAAACACTTTTGAAATATTTCTATAATTGGTAAAAATATGGTAACATAATTAAATATTTAACTTTTTGTAAAATAAAAGGTAGGTGGGTTAGTATTGAGATATACTTTCACAGTTTTCCTGCCTGGGAAACATGGGGAAAACTACACATTGGTGGCTTCCATGTCGGGAATCTTTATGGAAACCACTGAGGCATGTTTACATGGTTTCCTATCTTGGGAAACTTACGGGAAACCACAGGTTGGATGTTTCCATATCGGGAATCTACATGGAAACCACCGGGGCATGGTTTCCTATCTAGGGAAACTTACAGGAAACCACAGGTTGATTGTTTCCATGTCGGGAATCTATGTGGAAACCACCGAGGTATGTTTCCATGGTTTCCTATCTTGGGAAACTTACGGAAAACCACAGGTTGATTGTTTCCATGTTGGGAATCTATGTGGAAACCACTATGTGGTTTCCATAAAATGGAAACTATATGGAAACTACTGATGTCACGATTCCCATATGTTTCCATCGGGTTTCCAATTTTGGGAAACCTGGCTTTTCATCCTGTGCATACAATACATATTTTACATGCTCGTATTTTACTTACATAAAAATATTTTCTTTAAAAAATAATCCATTACGATAAAATGGATAATATTATTATATACGATAGCTGTTCATTGTACAAGTAATGGTTCATAAGGCCATTATAAATTAAAATATATCTAGATTCTCATCTCCTCCCAGCCAGTTTTTTTTTTTACTCCCGCCTTGATTTTTTACTTCCATTTTTCTTAATAATGATCGGGATCGGTATTCAACTACCCAACTCAACTCTTGTTTCAAATCCCGCGAATATCGGAATTAATGCATTTACAACTGGGTCATTGAAAGATTGGTGATTATGTGAAGTAAGAAATAAATTGACCCCTACTATGACTTTTATTCGGATTTTCTACGAAATCTGCACCGATTGACCAGGTCAATAAAAAAATCTGCAAAGTATAAAAAATATAAAGTATTAGCCGCCTCTCACCTCGATTTTTTTTTTCAAAAATTCAGATGAGAATCTAGGAATTTTTTTAATATGGTCTAATCAGTATGATTTTTTTTAATTTTGTGATTTAAACTTATATATGAAGGATTGCTTCTAGAGTAAGGGTGGCGAATCCAGGAATTTTGTAAAGGGGGCGCAGCAGAAGGCAGGTGGTCTGCGGCTGCACCGAAGTCCCAAATGGGTCTAAGGAAAGGCCGTTGTGGGGGTTTTGTGTGGGGGTTTAGGGGCAAAACTACCGGAAGGTGACAATTTTTCTTTTACAAATAAAAGATGTTTTTTCCGTGATATAAGGACAATGGACAGAAAAGTTTTACATACGAAAAATTGAAATTGTGGGGGGGGGGGGCGCGCCCGATCCTGGACCCGCCTTTGATTAATAATCCATTTTTATTTTTCCTTACAAGTTAAACAAAGGGTCGTGATGGGGGGGGATCCCTGTTCATTCTTTTGTGTCTGGGTACAATGACACAACAGATCTCACTTACTAAACATACCAATATTGATTGTCATACACTGAAAAAAATGATGCAGATAAAACATGTAATATATGCCAAGAAAATCCTTCTGGTCACATTTTATGTATGTTTCTTTTGATATTCTGCATGTTATTAATTCCCTTAAATATTGTCGGCCCCATCCGTCACAATATTTGTACCGAGTATTTGAACATTTTTTCATCAATTTCAGCTTGAATATTCAGCAAAATTTAAAACTGCAATTATGAGCGCGTCAAAATCAGATTCCTCCCAAATTATCTGAATTGGAACTATAATTATTAGCGAACCGACTTATAATTGAGTATATTCGGTAAACAACTAAATTTCATTCAAGACGCTTCTTTGGGGTATATGTCTTGCAGAAACATGCAATCTATCGGGAATTAAAGATGTAATATTTGATAAATTATCATCTTATCCTCGGACCATCATAATGAGTTCATAATATATTTTGAAGTTTAAAAGTCCATGATTCATCAAGAGTCCCCCTTCTTTCCGCCTAATTTAGTTTGAACCCTTTTGACACGGGCGTAGTCAGGCGTACGTTTTTACGCACAAACGTCCACATCAATTTTGGAAAAAAGGGAGAGACGTAATTTCCATGTATGCCCTAAAAACATTATCTCATACACATCATTCTGCTAAAATAAATGAGTAAATAAATAATTATTTTAAATTTAAAAAAAGATACATGTACTTTGAAACAAATTCGAATTAAGATAAAAAATGAAAGAAAATTAACATAATCAGTACAACTGTATTTTGTATCGTACTAAATCTCTCATATCCTTGTCTTTTTATAGCGACTTTCTGATTTGTGCATGCCGTATTTATCTAAAATTTACTTAAAACATTTGAGGACACCAGCTTAAAATAGCCATTTCAGACTGCTTAAAAGTCTAAATTGTTATATCTCTGCGTGAGCTAAACTGTGATTAAAGAAAATGAATAATCTTTTGTCTACATGCATAGGCGTCGGAACGGGGAGGGAGGTTAGGGGGCTGACCCCCCCCCCCACTTTTTTTGCAAAAAAAATTATATAGGCATTGAAAATTGGGATTTACCTTTTTTTTGGTTTAGCCCCTCACTTTCGATTAGACCTTTCAATTTCCTTCCGTAGCCCATGACATGTATATTATATCGAGTGAGTCATCTCTGGTGGTATCGCCGACATTAATGAACATCACTGCTGTATTTGCTCATTACCACTACATTTTTGAAATTTCCATGCATTTGTATATACTACTTGTTAAACCGACTGGAATTTATTTCAAATAAACTGTGTAAGCATTTTTGTGAAAAATGAAAAAAAAAATATTCAAACGATATTGTGTTCAATCTCTCAGATAAATTTTCCAGGATATTATTTTTGTTCTAAAAAATATTAAATTAATTGTGATGTAGAAGCAGGCATGTACATAATGTGAAATTACTTCCAAATGTAACATTTGTTAAATTAGTCTGAAGATGTTTTCTAAAGAACCATTATTTGCCACAGCCCCCTTTAATAGCATCAACGTCCCCATTAAAAAAAAATTATATGGCCTTTTTTTTTAATTTGAAGTATTAATTCTTTGGGGGGGGGGGGGCTCAAAGATTTTTTCATTTATTTTCCCGACTCTCCCCTAAACATTAAATAAATTACACAATATGTCTTTAATGTCAAATATTTCTGTAAATAAGGACAGACGAAACGTTCCTCCAAATCTGTTTTGTATATCTTCGTAATATATGAAAAACATTCAAAACTTTAAAAACATTCTGATTTCTAAACCAGTTTCTAAACGTTTTTGAAAAATCCCAACACTTAAATATTTGAAATTGGAAAATTATTTTTCTTCCCCAAATAATTATATAAGAAAAACTACCCCTGGTATCTTGCAGAAATGCCTGGTAAGGTACTTCAATTTTTTGTAAGTAAACATGTTTAAGTAGCAATACTTCAATGACAGAATTTTGGAAAATTTTATCTATTATTAAGGAACGTCTTGTCTGTCCTTAAATAGAATTGACTCGTGTCATTATGGCTGTGACGGAGGCAAATCGTCATTTATGATGTTTATACAGACAATATATATAGATCTCAGTTCGCGTTGTAAAATCTTGTTACAAAATTCAGATGTTTACCTTGTTATGCATCTGCTTTACGAAGAATTGATCTGACATTAAACTTTTTCAAATTCCTTGGCCTCGCTAGACCACAGCAAAATTTTAATCGTGAATGTGAACAAACGTTAACCTGTATGAACTTTAATTGTGGTAAAAGAATTTCTATTGTAAAATTTTCACTTTGGGTATGATGTTTTAGCATTCAAAATGATGTGTACATAACAAATGCGGAATTACATGCAGGCACAACCTCTATCAATACGTAAACATGGGATATAAAAAAATATCAAATGATCGGAATAGGTATCATCTTTCAGCAAAATTTATGTTCATTATTGGAAATGTCCAAGTGAAACTAAGCTCTGTGCTAAAAAGAGATATTCCTTTAATTTAAAAATATTTTAATGGCTTTAGATCGTATACTTAATAATGAAAAAAAAAATTGATAACGTTCATATTACAAAGGTGAGAAATGTCTCACTTGCAACTTGCATATTATGACGTTGTCTTTATCGTCGTTTTTCTCATTATGACGTCAAAGTACATAAGGGCCCTTTTCGCATGGGACGGCTCATATAATTAGTCTGATGCCCATTTGTAATTCAATATCTTTTTTATTTAACAGAAACCCGTAGTTGCAAAACTAGCATGTAACACCCTTTGGGCAAAAGAATCTGCGATGTGTATCAAGGAGGGCACCTCTGTTGCAGACCAGGACATTGTTTCCCTACTTTATCATGTTTTCTTTTCAATCACGAAAGGATCGTGTGAAGGAACTCTGTTGGAGCCATTCGTAACAATTATCGAAAAGGCCAATACCTTACAGGTATCAATATTTTTAACCAAGCTAAAATAAACAAAAATTCTAATATGTCTCTTAAATTGAACATTATTTAGCATTAAATTGTTATATCAGAAATTACATGTATGTAGTAATTAAAAAAATCTTTCCCATTGTTTGCTTAAAAACTGTTTGATTCTTTGAAAACCATTTTTAGGTTTCTAATCCATAAATTATGTGAATTATTATGTCTAAATATACTGCTTTATATTTGTTATGAATTCGATTTCATTATATCTGTTGCTATTAGGGATAAAATAAGAAATGCAAAGTTAGAATTTCAAAGTGTTCAAATATATAAAAGATACGGTTCAAATACAAAACTTTATTTCTGATTTTCATGAGTGAAACGTCTGATAATTAAACTTTGATAATAATTATGATTTATACTGCAATCACGATATATATATATATTTTATTTTCTTTTAAGAAATGTTTCCTTCCCACCATGGATGCAGTGGATTTGGATGAAATTCGTGCAGCTCTTGCGAATAAAACAGATTATGGGAACTTTCCAATTTTTAGTAAATTTAGGAAGCAATTACAATATATATATATATATATATATATATATATATATATATATATATATATATATATATATATATATATATATATATATATATATATATATATATTATGTGAAAATAAAGCATTTCATAAATATCAATTTGAATTCATGTAAAAAATAAAACCCTTAAGCTATAGAATTAATTAAGGAATTAATTTCATAGCTACCGAAGTTATACTGTAAAACCTGGATAAATAAGGGACGTTAACGCGTTATAAACCTTGTTTATTAAAAATTATTTAAATTGAATCAAAAATTTTAAATAGAATTTGAATATATTTTAAATGTAACCTCAAACATGAAGTCATTGTGAAATATTTTAAATAATAGGCCAATTGAAAATAAAAACTACAACTTCCTGAGAAAATTTATGCAACATTTTTCTTTCTCCAAGATGGTAAAATTTTTTTAAAGAATTTAAATGCTTTTCTTCATTTTTCATTGAAATCAACTTTAGAAATAAATGAAATTTATCTTCTTCCTCTCTAAAAAGATTGGAAAATTTTATTGAAGCGGCATTAAAAAAAACATAAACTGCTCCTGCACAGGTAATACCAGTTTAAATCGGGTAGCTATTCAAATTCATTCCTTTTAATCTAATTTTTCAATAATTAAGTAAAGAAAACAAGACATTTTTACTCTCTAAAATGCCTTCAAATTGTACTTGTAAATGTAACGTTTTGTGACTCAAGTCATTGTGACACAGGCAAATATATCGGTCAGGCAGTATATGCCTTGCTTATGTAAAATACAATATAAAATCAAATTTTTATTCAATCAAAATTAAATTATTTTAAGATCAGCAAAAATCAGGACGTACATGTATCCACCCCTACACGATTGTAATAAGAATCCTATTTTTATTTTCATTTTTAACTGAAAGTGATTGCTTAGAACATGTTTTAATGACAAAATATTTTCTTGAAAGTAATCTTTAACAGAACTATAATAATGATTAGTGAAAAAGCATCATTGAAAGAATTTATTTTTAATCTAAGAACAGTTTTCAACGTTTTTATCAAATATTTCAGAATGCCCAAATGGACATGTTTATCTTGTTGGAAATGTAAGTATCTATGATAACCCGAAATTTATTAACATGCCTCACATAAAACTCACTCATACTTATTTTATAGCCAATACAGACAGAGAAATAGAGTTCTTCATATGTTGTTCTATAACGATTTTATACATGAAATATATGGAGATAACAAACAGTATTCAAGCTCAAAAGAACATCGAACAATACAAAATAAGAGCAGAGCAAACATGGACACCCAAAACATCAGAGGTGGGATCAGGTACCATGGAGGTGTGAGCATCCCCTGCCAACCGGAAAACAAATAATTATATGATGACTAAATTTAATGTATTAAACTTCCGAGTTTAAATAATGCATTATGATGACTAGATACAGGAGTTTAAATGTTATTCTGAAAAAGTTAAATAAACTAATTAGATATTTTCTTATACACATTAACATTTATGCAACATTTTTGTGTGAGGGAGGGCGTATGTGTGTGTGAAGGTGTGAGTGTGTCTGAGAGAGGGTGTGTGTGTGTGTGCGGGAGAGAGAGGGTGCGTGTATGTGTTTTAGGGAGGTGTAAGGGTGTGTATGAGAGGGTGTGAGGGAGAATGGGTTTGTGTGTGTGTGTGTGTGTGTGTGTGTAAAGCAGAGAGAGGGCGTGTGATTATAAATATGTGTATGTTTTTATCTATAAGCTAGAAACACAGAAAAAGAAAAAAACAGATGATTATGAGAAAATACTCCATTAGCATAAAGTTTTTGACACTATTCTTAACACTTCAAGAAGCAAATACTAAAGCACAAAACAAATTCAATGTTTTCTTCAGTATTGTTTTTGTACTTGGATGTATATTACCTTTACTACTAAGCCATATAATCATTTGTCCTTATGAAGATATTTTAAACTTTATTTCCCACGACGCTGCTTTGAATAAAGAAAAAAAATTGAGAATGCAATTTCCATTTTTTTTTAAATGCTTGTGAATCTTCATTTATTTATTTTTGATTTCGAAAGAAAGTGAGAGATGTCAAGGGTGTGTTCATTTATATAAATTGGTAAAGATCCTCCAATAAAACTAGTGTCCAAATAACTGTATCTCACTTCTATTCTCAATGACCGTGTAGTGCAGGGAAGCGCTGTGAGAATTCCATCGGCATCGAAAGTTAGATAGCCAAGCGGTCTAACGTGCTGTTCTATATGAGCCTGATAATGCAGACAAAAAATAAATAAAGAAAAAACGAAGTTATTAAATATAGAAAAACAAAAATTTTAAATAAAAAAAACGAAATTAATATATAAAGAAAAACGAAATCATTAAATAAAGAAAAACGAAATCATTAAATAAAGAATAACGAAATTATTAAATAAATCATTTCTTTTTTCTTTATAAACAGTATTAAGTTCGTTTTTCTTTATATATTAATTTCGTTTTTCAAGTAGAAAACTGAAACTAAAATACGGAATTTATAGATGTGCATGGTAAGGGCCTGAACCCATAAATCATTAGCGCACGCGTCTGATAGATCTGATTTTGTTTTGACAATAAACAAGTGTTATTTACGGATGCATTTCTGTAAAGGATTCATAAACTTTTCAATTTTGTTTATGGGAAATTGTTGCTGTGTCGAATCCTGCTTGTATAAAATTAATGACATTCCAATAGAGCTCATAAACCGCTAGAAGGTCATGACCTTGCAAATCGTATTACTGAATTCCCTCGAACTTAACCTAGCATCCTATCTGTGTACCCATAAATCATAGGTTGTTGAAACTATAAAGAGAAAAATGATTTGATTACTTTGTGGGATTTGTTTTGTGCAAGTGTGTGCATCATTTGTTCACAAATATCACCGACTTGTACATTTAAATACACAGATTGAGAGTTATGTGAGAACAAGTACTATATAGTAGTTAGTATCACTGACTTATAAATAGTACAGATTGAGAGTTTGACAGTTTGAGAGTTTATAATAAGTGAAAACAAGTACTAGTAGCCAGTACATCACTTCTCATTATGCTTTGATAAAAAGACCAAGAATCAGAAGGGTTTTGCTTTATTTCTAATATAGAAAACAGTAATTAAAATTAACGTATTATAACCACTTTGACTTGTTTTAATTTTTGCACTTCTTCTCTTTAAACATTTTTTTATAATATCAAACAAACCCTTGAAGTCCGAGCGGTAACTTATTATTTTACAGCATTTCCTAAAGCATTTATTGTGCGATAATTGAATAATGAGCCATTGGAAGTTCCTTAATGTTACACTGTTATAAACAACGGAATCTTTACATTCATGTTTATCTTAAATATTTGAGCAATTTATTTGGATAATCTCATTTATGTTTCCTGTCCAGTTTCATTATATGCTGATCATTAGACCTTTCGAACATAGGTTTTAAAGTGCGGGTCTGGGGTATAAATAGCAGCCAATGAGAAAAATGGAGGAAATTTCAACTTTCTTGCCACTCTTCACTTCGCAGGAGATTTTTTTGAAATTATATCTATACCGTCAATATACACCTTCCGAAAGTTGTTGAGTCATCTAACTAAGTTATCAGATGTGTTTGGATGATTAAAATACAGTGTAAAAAAATTAATACAGTCTATAATATTCATTTAAAATTCTGAGGCGATCGAAATTTCAAATTTCTTTGGAGTTTGATGGACAGCTGCTGAATGTTTACATTTACACCGGAAATGCTCGTCGCTATTGACGCATGCTAAAATGGCCGCCATATTCTTACCTCAAAAGAAAGACAAAGATACTCCGAAAATAATCCTCAATACTTTTTATTATCCTTTCCTCGAGTAATAAATTAGAATCAAAGCCCGTGATTAGATCATAGATAGTGTAAACAATTATCACTTTGGGTCAGTCATGCTGTTTCAGTCACTTAGTGAAGCATCACATCGGCGAGATAACAAGGATTATCAGCGTGAACACGTGTCTGTGGCTGCCAGAAGGTTAGACCCAGTAAACAATCAAATAAAAAATGGAAAACAAAATAAAAGAAAATATCACAATTATTAAGTCACACTATTTAAAAAGAGATCTTGGACATTTTTTTTCTTTTAGTTCCAACGATGCCCCATGTATGGCTTATTTTTTGGATTAGGAAACCAATACCTTACAAGTTCTAATACACATTCTGGTAAAATATCTCGACGATGGCACACAGTGTTTCGTAATCTTGGATCGTTGAGTAAAGCAGTTCTTTTCCTAGCTATATATCTCTCATCCAAAAACACACCTCTATGGAAAAGCATAGTCCAAAAGAATTTGTACCTTTCTTTTCTAAGGGAACTGTTCCGTGTGTTTGGTGGCACAGGTTCCGATGCCCACCACATTTGTATATTTCGTTCATCAGTTATGCATGGTTTACATAAACAATTTTGACATTCTTCACAGTCTTCATTTTGCGGGATGTTGTATGTCCTTTCAAAGTTCACGCCCTCCTCCTCATTGTTATCAGTTTCTCCATTCATCTCATCTAAATCCCAGTTATTAAAATTAAAGAATTGTATAATGGCTTCCCTTTGTTCTGAATTTACTCTCAATAAAATAACACTTTTCTCTTCTTGTTCCTCCATTTTGCTAAATTGAGACCGCGTTTTGTTTTGGAGGGAAGTTTTGCAGGGGAGAGGTCTATTAGGGGACTCAGGATTTCATTTAATTTACTATAATTAACTATAATTTCTTATTTATTGATAAAACTGGATATTATAAAAGTAGATGATGAATTCAATAAATTATACATATGTATATATTTGGGATACTGCTTGTATTTCTCTCATGCACATGTTTTATGGATGTTCCCCACTGAGCCTTCTTATCCTGCTCTGTATCACAGCTAGGCTGATTTATTGACATTTGGCGGGAGGTCCCTCCATGTGTCTGTGGAAGTTGGTCAATTCCATCTGAAACCTAAACAGGGGTAGTGGGGGCAACCACGTTGTTATTATTCTGTCATTAATGTAAATAAAACTATTCCCACAAAATTTATAAAATCTTCTTTTTAATTAGTAAAGTGCTAATAAATTTTAAAAGCGTTAATTATTATTCACAAAGTTGTCAATGTTTTCTTTATTAGATAACAACTTGTTAAAAAATGGTACAGTCCACTGAAATATGACCCCCTTTAGTATAGATAATGTATATTATATATTATATAAGATACAAGCAGGAGTAATTCAAAGAATAATCGTCATTAACTAAGCTTTATTAATACTGGGAAACTATTTATATCATGGCTGAAAACAAACGAAAGCGTCCTCCAACTTTTAAGTTAGAAATACCAGCTAATGAAGACAAGAAAATTAATATTATGCAAAGTCTTTAGGAAGTCAGGGAAATGTTAGTCAAACAACTGGGTAGACCTGTCAACAATGCCGACATCATTGAAAATTTGCTGTCTACCTGGAAGAAGTCAGTAGCCAACGACGATCATCCCAAAACACCTGGAACTTATATTAATGTTAAGAAAAGTCAGGTGAACCAGGACTTCTTTGTGACATCGCTGCCTTCTGTGAAAAAACTCATGGATGTAGCTGCTGTACATGGGAAACATTGTGGAGGAAAATTGGAGGTAAAAAAGGCAACAAAACGGGGACATGTCACTTCTTTGAAACTGTGTTGTTCGAGAACCGATCGTCCTAAACACAGGTATATTTGGGCATCTTCACCATACCTTCCGAACGGAAAGTATCTTATCAATGAAAGAATTAATCATGCTTTCTTGTGTAGTGGAATGCTGCCATCCTGTTATTCTAGATTTTGCAGAGAAGCAGGAATCGGTGTTCTTTCTGTAGAAAAACGGAATTCGTTTTTTAAAATGTACAAGACATTTGTCCAGCAAGAGTACGAAGACTCTATTCACACCGCTTTACTAGAGGAAGTGGGACTATATGACAATTTAGACGGCATTGACATCATAACTGACGCAAGGCATGGGTGGCGGAAAAATGCCCAGGACACCAGTGTGGTAGCAATAGGAGAAAAAACGCATAAAGTTCTCAACTGTGTGCATGTTGCGACCACTGATGATCCAGTTACCCAGAGACATGAAAAAATTGGAACTGAAAAAATTTACGAGGATCTTGACAGCAAACAAGTTTCTGTCAACGTCCACACGCATGACAGAAATATGTCAATTAACAAACTAGTCAGGGAACGTGAAAATGGATTTACCTGCAACCAAAACGACATTTGGCATGGCATAAAAAATATTAAGAAGGCCATGTCCACCATTTCAAGAAGACCACGGTACAGAGAAGGTAAAACGTGGTCCGAGGAACTTTACGACAAACCGGATGCCGTTTCTACACATTTCTACTGGGCCATCAAACACTGTGGTGGAGACTCGGGTACGCTCAGAGAGATGTTAGACAATATCATAGATCACTATAAAAACAACCATGAAAGATGTCATTCTTCCTCAAGATGTAAAGTGGATCCAAACTACGAATCTTCCCGAGTGGTGATTCAAAACCCTGTTGCAGAAAAACTATTAAAAGGTGTTATAATCAATTCAGTGATCTATAAAAATCCGGATGATTTTCGATTAGGACGTGATACTTATTTTGTTGAGAGTTTTAATAACACTTTAAATATATATGAGGATAAAAGGATTGCTTTTGGAAGTGAACAGTATAAAGTGCGAGCATTCCTTGGTACGTGTCACTGGAATGAAAATGTGGGTAGAGACATTACTTCTATCACTTACACACGTAATCCTAAAACCCCACGTAAGCAACTTGGGAAAAAGAACTATAAAAAACAAAAATTTCAGTTCAGGAAAAACATTTGGTGGCGTTACATAAAACATGTCTTTTCTAAACGTAGAAATAATTAAAATATCTATGTATATTTGCACAATCTTTGTTGTCTTATTTTAAGCACGTGTAAGTAGCAAGCTGCTATCTATTAATAGCATAACTCTGCAGTCTTATCAGATGGGAGGTGTGGCCAGCTCCCTAATATGCTTAATTGCTGTCCGTGTGGATATTTATCTAGGTCAGATCCGGCCTTTAAGAAAGCTAAATAATGTTAACCATTTGTTAACGTCAATATCTCACCGAGTTACTGTCCAAATTATCAGACTGGTCGAAGTTCACATTAATCATGTTAATTTAAGATGAAAACATAAATCTAAGCATACTACTATTAGATACCATGGGTTAAATTCTCCCCCATTCATGTATTATAATAGTTATGTATTTGATATGGGAGGAGGTGAGTGTAAAGGCAAACACCACACTCGTTTATTGTCGAAACAAAATCAGGTTTATCAGACAAGTGCGCTAATGATTTATGGATTCAGGCCCTTACCCTGCACATCTGTAAATTCCGTATTTTAGTTTCAGTTTTCTACTTGAAAAACGAAATTAATATGTAAAGAAAAACGAAATTCTTAAATGAAGAAAAACGAAATGATTTATTTCATAAATTCGTTTTCCTTTATCTAATAATTTCGTTTTTTATATATATATAAATTTCTTTTTTCTTTATTTAATAATTTCGTTTTTCTTTATATATTGATTTTGTTTCTCTTTATTTATTGATTTCGCTTTTCTTTATTTAATACTTTCGTATTTCTTTATTTGATAATTTCGTTTTTCTTTTTATAATAATTTCATTTTTTTAATTTAATAATTTAGGTTTTCTGTATTTTATTTATTTCGTTTTTCTTTAGTTATTTTTGGTTTGCACTATTTGGCTTCCGTATTGTTCTGGTACTGGTAGGAGACAGATTTCTTTCTTTAATAGTGTTCTTAAAAATTTCCAATTCAAAATGTAACTAAGTATGTAAATATATAGTGTTTAGTAGCAGTGCTAGTTGTTTTTGTTTCTCTTTTTCCTTTGTTTTTATGACTTTTTAACTTTTTTCTTTGTCCTGAGGAAGGGACAGTGCTTTATATAAATAAATAAATAAATATATATATATATATATATATATATATATATATATATATATATATATATATATATATATATATATATATATATATATATATATATATATCAGCGATATGTTACATAACCTGTTTTTCTTCCTAGTGTGGAAATCCAGTTTTTGGTCAGACAACTTGTCCCGAATGTGGTGCAAAGATTGGAGGGAAAGCCTACAACGAATTGGAAGAAGGCAATGTAAAAATTGATGTACAAGAGTAAGTATATTTATTTTAAAAAATAATAAAAATTCTATTCAAAAGGTTAAATTTGTTAAAAGATGCCTTTTATCAAGCAAATATCGCACATGTATTTGTTATTTGATTCGTGCGAACTGCAAAGCTTAAATGGATTTCTTTGCAATCCAAATACATCTAATTTGGCCTATTTTTTTTCAAAAACAAACTTTTAATATATTACTCTTCGATTAATCGTTGCACTGATAATTATGTATCTCAATGTAGTCTTTTTGCATGATGAATTGTATAATATTCAGACTAAAACTGTATTTGTGGTAGCTTTTTGAAAGTATTTCACAGAAATTACTATTTTTGGTACAGTAACCATGGCAACACCATTCATTGAAATCAAACAACGGTATACAGAATTATGTATCTTTGTGTTTGTGTGCCAAGTTATATTGATTTTAAACTAAAACTCTAAGAGGAGTAGCATTTTAAATGTATTTTAAAGAAATTTTACTCATATGGAGACGCAATTTAAACCAGAACTCTCTGTCGAGACTTTAGCTCTACTGGTTTGTACTTATAACAAAAGATGTGAAAAGAAGCCATTGCCATCAGACCAAAACTGAAGAAGTAGCGTTTTAAAGGAATTTCACAAACATTTCTGTTTTTAGTAACCATGGCAAGATCGTTCATCGAAATCAAAACCCGATAAATAGAATTATATATCTTAGTGTAGTCTATTTGTGTGCCAAGTTATATTGAAATAAAACCAAAACTGTAGGAAGAGTAACAATTTGAAAGAATTTCACAGAAATTTCTATTTTTTAGTGACCACAGCAACATCGTTCATCGAAATCAAAACCCGATACACAGAATTATATATCTTAGTGTTGTCTACTTGTGTGCCAAGTTATATTGTAATCAGACCAGAATTGTAGGAGGAGGAGAATTTTGAAAAAAATTGTTTACAGACGGACAGGCAGACAGACAGACGGACGGACGACGGACGCATTATTATCGCAAAAGTTCTTCTGGTCTCTGACCAGTAGAGCTAAAAATTCGCTATCAACGTACAAGCAACAATAAGGTTATAATCATTCATTCATCATTCAAGCTTTTCCTCTCGATAATTTACCAAATCAATTTTCAGATTTGACGAACAATATATGGGACATATTTTTGGACGAGCTGAATCAAGAGAAGATGTACCTACAGCTCAGCGTGAGCTATCGTCTGTGAACTGTTCTATTCTTCGATTTATTTTGCATTCATCTCTCTACATAGCATCAAGTCATACTCCAGAGGTAAAAAAAATATGGACATCAAGAAGATGCTTGAGTTTCTGATTGACAATATCTATGTGGTTTTTGGAGACCAGGTATTCCAACAATCTATTGGAATTCCCATGGGTACAAATTGCGCTCCGTTATTAGCTTATTTTTATATTCATATGAAGCAGAATTTATGCAAAATCTTATGCGTGAAAAAGAAGAAAACACTTGCTGTGGCCTTCAACTCGACATTTAGATATATCGACGACGTATTGTCAATTAATAATGATAATTTCCATTCCTACGTCGATACGATATATCCTGGTGAACTTGAGATAAAAGATACCCCAGAATCCGACACTTCTGCTTCATACTTGGATATTTTACTTGAAAAAGACACTAATGGTAATCTAACAACCAAGCTATGTGATAAACGTGATGACTTTAACTTTTCTATCGTCAACTTCCCTTACTTATGCAGCAATATACCTTCATCACCTGCATACGGAGTATATATATCTCAGTTGATTCGATACGCAAGAGCGTGCTCTACGTATGAACAATTTCCTAAACGAGGTATATTATTGACAAGCAAGTTGATGAAACAAGAATATCAACAGTCTCGTTTAAAGTCATCATTTCGTAAATTCTATGGTCGATACAATGACCTTGTCAGCAAATACAATTTATCATTGAGTCAAATGCTGACTGACGTTTTTCATACCAATTGTTAGTCCATTATTTATACACTAAATTGACGACGGATTTTTTCCGTTATTTCCTGATCATGGCAACGAGCACACGGCGGGTGTGACCGGTCGGCAGGGGATGCTCACTCCTCCATGGCACCTGATCCCACCTCTGATGTTTCGGAGGTCCGTGTTGCTCTGCTCTTATTTTGTATATTGTTTAATGGACGTTGAGATTGAATACTGTTCGTTATCTCCATATCCTTCATGGAAAAGTATTTTCATATTTAAGTTGTATCCAAAATATTTCTAAACTGATAATTGCAAGATTATTGATTGTTTTAATTATATAATATACCATTTACTTAGAAAGTTTCCAGCAAGAATTATGTTTTCTAAAAATTTTACCAGTAAAGGCCAGACGATACGTACCTAAATAAAACATAATTTTTTCTTGCAATTGAATTATTGAGGCACCTCATCAGTTATTTGTATAATAAAACATATGGAGATCAAAATCAGTATTCAAGATCAAAAATTCATAATACAAAAAAGGAGCAGAGCTAACACGGACTTCCAAACCATTAGCGATGGGACCTGGTGCCAGGAAGGAGGGCACATCCCCTGCCGACCGGTCACACCCGCCGTGTGCTCATGGTCATGATCGGTAATCACTAACAAATCCGTCGTAAATTCAGTGTATAAGATATTCGATGATGGTGAATCTATTTGTATATAATCCTTTTGGAAAGAACTTTTAAAAATTATCAATAAAAAAAAAACCGAATAATACATGTGCATCTTTTACAAAGACAATTAGAAACAGGTTTAGAAATCAAAATGTTATTACATGTACGATTTTAAATATTTTGTATACATATGAAAGATTTACAAAACAGATGTCCGAGAAATAAACCTTAAGATTACAAGGTGCAATACACATGAAAATCAACACATTTTATATTTTTAAAAACCACAGGAATTAAGTTTCCAATAGTATCACAAATTGAAAGCATATTTTTCTTGTATATTGAATTATCAGGTGTATAGACATTCAGAGAGTATACATAGGGTAAAAGCGATTTAAAACCGTATTGACGAGACAGCATGACACATATCATTAAAACAGATTTCATAAAACTTTCCGATAGAATTAATAATTCTTTACTTCTCATAAATATGTAAACCTTCAAAACATTATACGTTTCTTAAGTAAATAATTTTGATTATTTGAAAAAAAAAATTATCCATGGACCATATATACACATTTTGTAACGTTTTAAGGGTACCATGTTACATGCTATTCAAACATAAAACTTATTCTAAACAAAACAAAATGGTTAAAAAATATAGCATGGTTGGCTTTCTATCTTGTGAAAATCGATCAAGGAAGACAAAATAGGACACCCCTAAATAAAAATAGACCGTGAATATGCACATTTTCATACCAAATTTCTCTTTGGACCCCAATAAACGAAATGTCAACATGTTTCCTTACAATTCTTTAAAATTCTTCTGAATCAGATTAAGAGGTAAAAGCATAATAATATGTCGGAAAAGTAATTTTGTTTTTATTCTTGAAATTGCCTTTAACTCAAACCAACATTTATAAACTGAATTTTTCTTTGAAATTTATAGGAAAAGTTCATACGCACAGCAGCACTGTAAAATTAAAGCAAAAAAATATTATAAATTTTCAGGCTGTTAATGCTATCATTAAACCAAGGATAGAAGTAACTGCCGTTCTTCCCTTTATAATGGACCACATCAAAAAAGACTTGACGATAATACAGAAAGCTACTGGAAGTAGCGAAGATGATGTGTACCTTCTGTTGCACAGAATATGTACAAGTTTTACAGAAAAGCATGAAAGTTTGTATACAGATGCAATTCGTATTCGTAAATCTTTCTTTAAAAAAAATGGCTGAAAAGCAATTACGTTCATTTTTTAAAATTTTGCTTTTCAAATGTATTGCATGTACTACACCTGATAAAAGTATGACCCTTTTATTTCAAAAGGCAAAAGCCAACATTTACAGAGTTGTTTAAGTGCTCTGGAAAACAAAAAGGACAGAAGTTGCTGGGAAGGAGAATTTGCTGATGAATTTTTCTCTCCTATTTTGAAGGTAAATTTAATTAAACCGTCAGAAAGTTTCATTACAAGTAAGTTTCAAAGTTTTACGCATTTCACATATCATATTTCACAAAGGAACTAGTTTTAAACCAGGATTAAAACAATCTATGATTAATTTGAAATTATAAGCAATCTAAACCACATCCTAAGAACAGAACATTTCAAAGAAATTTCTATCATTATGGTAATTCTTCGTGTATGTAGATTTCTGTTCCAAATATTTTTTAAAAGATTGATTGATTGTACATTATTAACGTGAATTTTTCACTAATATTGAGACGCCGCCACTTGCCAGTAAAGAGCTGCAAATAATGTCTTATACTCGACACTTAGTGCCATTGAGGAAAGGGGGATCTTTTTCGTGCCAGTACCTACTGCGACACGGGACCTTGGTTTATACGGTCTCATACGAAGGACAGGTCTTCACGTCCCACAGTGGGATTAGAACCTGGGACGAAAGGATCAACTCCTTACTTTGCGACTCTAGGGCAGACGCTCTTACAACTGCGCCACGCGGGGAACTCATTTCTAAAAAATACATATGCAAATACATAGATTACCTTCCTTTTTCACATCCTTAAAAGAGATCAATTCACTTCAAGAAAACGGCTTGCTTCCAAGTATATACATGTACTTTTGAGTCATTGGTTCTTATTTTTATTAAATACCAAGGATTGATATTCACTGAAGTAGGCAAACAAAATGTGGTAATATACGATTTTGAAGTTTCGTACAATATATAAAAGTTCTCATTTCTTTTTTTGTGACATAACATTAATGCCTCATGTTATTTTATCTATTTATATGACAATAGGCCACTGAATGGCGTGATTTAAGTTACTGTAAAATCACATATTTTCAAGGGGTCAAATTTTCGTGATTTGAGGAAAATGTATTGCCTCATGGGGATTTGATTTCGTAGTTGAAGAAATGTTCAGAAGTATGTCCTGGTGGTCATGAATTCTTGGGTCTCTTCATACCATGAGAACAACGACAATTGAACCCCCATGAAAATTATGAATTTCACAGTATGTGTTGCACTTTCAACAAGGCATGTTACAAATTGGGTGTTTCCTAAGGAGTGACAAATGCAAAATCGTTTGCTCGATTCGCTTATTTTGACATTTATTGTTTCTTGTATTAAACCAATATGTATACTGAAAGGAAAATGAAACGCATAATAATCTTTAGAATAAAATTAAAACTTTTATTTCCAATATGTTTCCAGTATTGTTATCAAACATTTTAATTCAACTTTAAACAACAAGTAACCGAGATCTTGTGTGACTTTGACTGATAATTCCTGAGTTATTGAAATTGATATGTCGATTCCCCCAAAATTAAAATAAAAATTCTCATCATCTCCCTTGCGCATCATACTAGTAACAGCCTTGATTTTCTTGTGCATTGAGTTCACCAGAGCATTTATCTTTCTCAAGGATTATCATTAAATCCTTCCGACGATAGTCTTAATGGTTGAGAGTGGCTGTATTATTCCAAAGCTAACAAATCCCCCGCCCAATGAATCCCACGAATTTTCGATTTAGGATGATAGAATGTACAGAATCTAGCTGATTTGGTACACGTGAATTTTTGTAAGGATGTATCGACAAATACTGGCTACATTTTTTCAGCGTGAACATGCTAAAAACAATACGCATACGGCGCGTACGTGCGCGTGTGAGAGTAAAATAGACGTAAAGTTGCCAAGCTTGCGTACCAAATTAGAGCAGAGAGTTTCTGTCAGTATTAGGGTGAAAATATGAGTAGGATTGCCTGCATTAAAAATATCGGTTTCAGTGATAATGACCTGACAATAACCGAGGTAGCATGATGAAAAGCCTCTTGATGTGACGTTGTTACGCGCCAACGTCACCCTCATGGTTGGTTGGGAACTTTTTAAATTACTCTCTAACAACCGAAAAAACTTTTTTTTAAGTTGAAAAGTTAAAAACAAACTGCACAGCAACACGTCGCTGCCTTTTTATTCACCTATGCAACTCAATTACTAGACTTTATGTAACTTCTGTCATCCATAGCATGATTGCAAGAAATTTATACTGACTGTAAATATCGGAAAACGATGTCTATAACTCTAATGCATCTCTTGGCACAACAAAATGTTATCACAAAATTGTCAGCATCAACATGCACGTGTATTTGGCTTTTTATCACTTCCCCTGCGTGACACCATACATTTCATGTTTGAGTAATTTTGTACATCTATTTTAGTGCACATTAACAAAATACACATCTGACCAATTTACATAATTTTCGGTCACAAAGTTAAATATTTTTCGCTATTATGCTATTATGCGTTTCTTTTTCATTTCATTATATAAACTTTATAAACATATCTAATTCCTTCTTCATTCATCTAAAGGATTTAGAGTCAGAATTGAAGACCCTGGGCAAAGAGCTTGTAGAAGACAAACGATTAGGTAATTCTGCAAAAGTTGGTTTATCAGATGACTTTAGAAAAGCATATAGATACATTTTCTTTGTTTCGCTTAAAAATTTAAGAGAGGACAATTAATAAACAACTTCTTCAATTATTTACAGGAGCCGATCCTTTACTTAGTCTTCTTTACGAAACTGAAACAGCCAATGAAGATATCTCGGTACACGAACTACAAAATCATCCAGCTGTTTGGAGATATAGATCACAGATATCTATGGACCATTTGTCCAAAACGTTTATGATGCAAATCCCAGCAAATGAACATGCTGTACTACGTGCATTTTTGGAAGAGGTATGAGTTTCATCAGTAACAAGTGCATTTACTGCATATTCAAACTCAAGGTCATAGATCACAGATATCTATGGACCATTTGTCCAAAACGTTTATGATGCAAATCCCAGCAAATGAACATGCTGTACTACGAGCAATTTTGGAAGAAGTATGAGTTTCATCAGTAACAAGTGCATTTACCGCATATTCAAACTCAAGGTCAAGGTTTTAGAGGCAGAGTCTACAAGGGCCCTATCATTTATGTGACTGATTTCAATTTCACTTGAGTCCTTACAACCACGTATCGACCTACACTTAAGTTCACAATAAGTTTAACTGTCCTAACTGAATTTATTCGACTGTCATTATTTCACAATATTTACATTTGCAAATGCTTTCCTTTATATAACACTACTAAAAGGAATGCGTATCCATAACTGTATAAATACAGGTACGGGGTCAATAGGTCATAGATATACGTATGGATAATCCTTTGACGTAATTTCTCAGTGACGTAAAGGGTCGACGCGCAGTCAGTTGATTACATAGATGCCGTTGGGTTTGAAAAATAATGCATTTCACAATCAGGCAAATTTAAAGTATGAATAAGTCACAGATGTAAATATAAGTTATAAGGTATCATTTTAAAACATCTATTAGGCTATAAATACGGGCTGATACGAGATAAAATTCATCATAAAGCCCTGGAATTTAATCTCATGACCAACCCGTATTTATATCCCGATAGATGTTTTAAAATGATACCTTATTTCTTAAATGGTAAAACATGTTTCTCATATTATAACGTCCTGTTCTACGTAAATTTGATGCAGCAAAACTGTGTGTCATGCGAGATCAGAAAGAGTGGAAGCTGTTTTGTGTCAGTATAACAGAAGGAAGAATATCACATGACATCCATTCATATAATAAAAATTACGAAAATATTCTTCTTATATTATATTTGGTATTATACAGATAGATTAAAGAATTACATTTGTCATCTTCTGATAAATACTTCAATTCTGATGTGAATATTCCAGGTTATGTGAAATGATATTATACACGCACAATTATTAGATCATAAAAATCATAAGACATTGGATCGACAGTGTCTAATATCATTTACGTCTATTTTAAATTGATAATGTAAAGACAAAACTTGTCACTTTGGCCTTCTATTGATATGTGAAAGTTTTAAAGTCAGTTCTTAAAATGTTTTTTTTAACTTTAAAGACTTAATTTGTTTCAGGAACACAATGTTCGAGTAATTCGTCTGATACCAAGCATCTTGAAGCTTCAGAAAGTTCTGATACACAAATTTGCCAGGAAACTAGACAGAAGTGAGGCGTCTGATTTATCGATGCAATTTGTGATTGACTCTTACAGGGGTAATTCTTTTTATGAAGAGTGTTTATACAAAATTTGAATTTGTATGCATGATTGATAAATAATGTATATATTATAGTGTGAAGTCAAAATCTGCATGAGATGAAGAGGGGCAAATCTGTATCAGTCAGTGTGATCGAATACATGACTATTATTTAATTATGTATCTACATGTAAATCAATCTGGTCAAATACTTAACAAAGTGAAATGCATCTTTAGATATAATAGAGATATGTGTTTGATCTTCATTACTTAAGATCCCAGACAATAAGGTTCAACTTTTTTTTCTTTTCGTCTCCATAGATATACTTGTTTGTTGATTATTTTTTTTTAATAAATGCAGTCAGATCCACTACTCAGATGCTAAATCGGACATTGGTTTTGGACCTTATTAACACGTTTTTCTGTTGTCGTTCATGTAAGTCCCATCCAAAAAGGTCTTATCTTGTAAATGAAATTAGAAAAGAATAACCTGTTATCGAGCTCAAATGTTCACGAAAACTATATAAATTTTGAGCAAAGCTAAATATTTTAAATGTAAGATAAGGAGCCACTAAAAAACATGTATTCTTTATTTACCACTCGTACTGCAGATATCCTAGTTTTATCAACTCGTTTGTAAATAGCCTGCCACATTTTTAAAATTGTTCGTAGGTAGAACATGGTCTTGCGTATCGATTCAAATTGGAGATTATAGTGCCTTATGATTAAAGAATCGTTATGATAAAAATGTTTAAGTGCTTAGACTGATGCATCATTTAAATGTTTTTTATGTCTGATATTCATTTACAATCAATTTATAAGACATAAATTATACATTAAAAGTAATGCATATTCCTTATCTACACTTAAGTGCAATATTTGAAATATCTCATATCCGAAGCATACTCATGGGAGGCTCTCTAAGTTCATTAAGACCAAATTTATGATTTAGAAAACGATGTTTCCGAAGAAGACGAAGAAGTCATAGGAGAAACGGAGTCAAAGTGGATGGAGATCGATCAGTTGGTTTCAGATTTTATTGAAGCTTGGCGTTGTATTAGAGGACAGCTAGGAAAATTTCGTACGTTCTTTTAATAATAATTATGTAGAAAATTCTTTTAAAAATCTATCATAGAATATTTTAGATAATATTTAAGATATTATAAATAAGAAACTGATCATCGTTTTCTTAAAATCTAAAATGATTAATAATAATGTTCAAAAAAAAAATGAAATAATAGCAAAAAATAAGTAAATTTATACTGATAATAAACATAAAAAAGTTTATTGAAAGTATCAGCTAAGAATATAGCGAAACAAATGTCTATAATTCAAACACATTTTATCAATATTCATTGCAGGCTTTCAGACCTTGAAAGGGAACAGACAAATTTCAGAGAAATACTATGGAAAGGATTTAGTCAAAGAAGACCCAGTGTCTCTCTTCTTGCCTACTTTTAGAGAGCATGGACTGTGTTCCTATGGATTATTGTACTTTCTGTTGAAAAAACAAAACTCGTTTTTGGAAGAATACTGCAGAAAAAAAGATATAGAGTAAGTAACAGTGAAACAATTAAGTTGTTTAACGCATAAAAACGATCAGATATGAATACTGTTGTTTTTCAAATTCTTTTTTTAGCTGAAAATATACAATTACTTATCAAGTATTTGATGCGCCTTCTTCACTCGAAAATAATTTATATTTGATTTTTCAGGAAAGAAACATTTACTTACAGTTTTCAAATAACGATAACCATTTTCAATAATGTTTGTTAGCCCTCTTCCGACACAGGGTAAAATTAATGAATCGGTAGGTGGGTGTGAATTTTCCCCCCAAAAGCTTTAATATATTTATTTACGGTTTAAGAGGAGTAGAAAGGGAAAACAAATCATGTTCTGGGATGTAGAAAAAATGTTAGTCGAGTCAATTTCATTCAGTCAGTCAAAACAGGGCAACCAAATATTTTAAAAACTAGTATTAATGGCAATATGTCCACATAATATTAATTAAATACAAAGAACAGTTCATTCGTAATTGATTTATTATTTTTATACCTTAACTAAATAATAAATTATCTGTCTTTTAAGCTCTTGAAAAGGGGGGGGGGGGGAGGTAGACTTTCAAGCATCACCATATTCTGAAAAAAATCTTGGGCATTATTAATGTCCCTTACATCTTTTCTTATGTTTTACTCAAAAAACAATATAATGAATTAATAAAACACAATGTTTAAGTTGTAAATTGTTCTGAAATTGGTGAAAAAAAACTAATAATTAATTTTTGTCGGTTTTGTTGGCTATAAACATACCCCCCCCCCCCGTGAAACAAAACTGTTCTGGTATACATTTGTGAAATGAGAGTCCATATTACCCTGAAAAATTATTTTTTTTGTTCTCGTTTCATACGGGGATTGATATTTTCATAATTAGCGTTTTTCATTGATTTCCGAAGTGAAAGAGTTATGCTAAAGTTACAGAGTTATCTCTCTTTGTTTTCCCAAATAAGTTTTATGCCATATGACAAACTGTTATTTATGCCTCCTATGAGAAATATCAGCCTGATAGTGCAGTGAAAAATAACCAAACACAGATATGCAGTTTTGTCGAATATGTCATTTAATTCAATGACATAAAGTAAAATGTATAACAAATCATTAAGGGGGATCACCTAATATGAAACAATACAGTGTACATGTACATAGGGGAAAGGTACAAGTGTGATCCCCATGAGACTGACTAGAAATTTACATGCAGTGAACATATCAGAGTACATGTAAATATGCATAAAATATAACATAAATGAGTAAATCCTTGGAGGCGTCCAAACAATTGCGCCACAAGCCCTCACGCAGTGAGGGGTTGACGTTTTCAACGCACTACCAGACTAACAAAATGGCGCAACAAAATCAAGGATTTTGATTGGGTTACTCTGTCAAGAAAAGCAAAGGTTGCGATTTCGCAGTTAAAGGTTATATGATAATTGCGCTGCGATAAAGGTGCATATATTGCAGACTGCGCAAGGATATGCAGAATTATCCTAAGGTGTAAAATATAATATATTTCTCATGGCGGCATAAATTGAATTATCTGTGATAATATTGTTTTGTTTTATGAAAATCCATATAATATCTATTAAAAAAATCTTAAAAATCAATATGTTAAACAACATACATTCATTTAATCAATCAATCAATCGAATATGTGAACATTAAAAAATTGACTTGGAGGTGGGCGTGTGAGTAATACTGAGTATCGTTCGCAGTTTTTTATCATTGTGTTGCTTATTAAAAAATGCCAATGTTATATACCGAGGTACATGTATACCTTGTCTTTTCTTCTCGGAATATTTATTGATAAGAAGGAGCTTTGCAGATTCAATAACCTCCGAAAAAAGCTTCGATTTCCTTGAGAAATCGATCATTTGAATGAAATTATCATCTTCGAAAACAATTGCATCAAAACGTCTCTATTTATCAAAAGTAGATGTAAAATATACATGGGTTGATCCAAAAGTTCGTGGAATTTCTTTCTAAAATTTTATCGTGATTTGATGAAATTAAGCAACAGGCATATTCATAAAACAGAGACATAATGCAACAATATTGGAAAATTTCGCCACTTTCCAATTACCAATAAGGTCACACGAGCTTTCTGAAAATGGATAGTTGGGAAACCCGGGGGAGACTTCAACGTAACGTCAAGTTAGATATGTCACGTCACGTTATAGAAGATCTCGCCCAAATGTCCAATTATAATACGTAATTCTACAAAATGCTGCCCATTTCTCCATTTTTTTTTCTCAAGAAAAGCCTGGGCATCCTCTTGCACCAACTTATCTTCATTTTTTACTCATATTTCAAAAAAAGCTACCCATCTGTCCATATGATGTTCCAACTTCAGTAGCAATGTCAAGAACAGTGCCACAGCCAACAACGTCCATTAACGCTTTTAATTTGTCTAGGGAGATACGTACGTAAACAGAGACTCTAAAAAGCGACCACCTACTTTATCAATGTCCATGGAAGTTCTATTTTTCTTAAACTTCTTATGCCACTGGAAAACCAGTAACTAGATGCATTTTTCCCAAGCCTATGTCAATGATACACGCGTTTAAGATAGAGTGCTACCGGGATTTTCATAAAACGTGTGACTTGACCGAAATTTTACGTTATCTTAAAACTTAGAGATGAACAATAAACCATCAACTTATAAACTAACTAGTGCTAATTGTAACGGGAACCGTTACAGATGTTCCCCAAACGCTCCCCAACTCCCTTCTCGTGCCATATTCCCTGGAAGTTTCATTAAAGAAGGCAAAATCTATGCATTTAAGACGGCAACAACGTTTTCCCAAAAGTATACCAAGTATTTCAAATTTAAGCAATGCAGGCGTGCGCATGTGATTGCATGAGCGTAATGACGATATCATCTTGTCTACACTATTTTACTCATATGCACGTGCACGCACGTGCATGATGACCATACCTTCTTGTAGGAGTCCATTATGTCTGTCTATGTTCATTATCCCATCCTATTTGGTTGAAAAACAAGGGAGTTATAGCCATTTAAAGTTTAAGCCAATCAGATTGCAGCGCACGTGCATGCGCATGTTTCCATGACAATTATTTTATATCATATTGTAGGACATCTTAAAGTATGCCTATGTTTTAAATTTCAAAGCATTTTGTAAAAAAACAGAAAAGATATTGAGATTTTTGTTTCAGCCAATCAGAGCAAAGCACACGTGCACGCACGTGCATGCATGTGAATGGTGACCATACCATCTTGTAGGAGTCCTTTATGTCTATCTATGTTCTAAATCCCATGCTGTTTGGTTGAAAAGCAAGGGAGTTATAGTCATTTAAAGTTTCAACCAATCAGATTGCAGCGCACGTGCATGCGCGTGATTTCATGAAAAATTTTATATATCATATTGTAGTACATCCTAATACATGTCTATGATATAAGTTTCAAAGCATTTCATCATAAAACAAAAAAGATATTAAGATTTCTGTTTCAGCCAATCAGAGCAAAGCGCACGTGCATGCGCGTGAGTTCATGCAAATTTGACCATGTCATCTTATGTACACAACTTATATATCTTTATATAATGAGTTTCAAAACATTTAATCAAAAAATATAAAAGTTACAACCATATTAAATATATCAGTCAGTTTACTCATTGCACGCGCCCGCACGTGCATGCGAATGCGCGCAAAATGACCTTCGTTCGGCACATCTACACAACATGCCTACTAACCCTAAAAAGGTTTTAACTTAGTTTGGTGAACAGTTTCTGAGAACACTTCCGGACAAAAAAGTACCGGAGAAGAAATAAGAAGAAAAAAGAATAATAATAATAATAATAATAATAATAATAATAAGAAACAGAGTAAAAACAATATGTTCCCCAACTTCGTTTGGGGAACATAATAATAAGAAACAGAGTAAAAACAATATGTTCCCAAACTTCGTTTGGGGAACATAATAAGGCAGCAAAATTCAAATTCTCATTTCTCTACTAAGATTTTTACATCGGGCTCGGAGTTGGTTTTCTTCAGAAAGACAGGACTGGGTTCAAGGCGACTAGGGGTACCACACCGGTAATTGACCAATCAAAATGAACTTAGTCAATTGTAGGTCCATACATTAAGCCGATTTTCCTTTCTTTTTAGAGTTTTTTTAATTTCCTTCCAGGCCAGTTTGACAACTCTGGTACCTGTGCCTAGGAAATTTTATCTACTCTATAAATAAATAAAGTTTTTTGACAGGAACTATTTCTCCAGGGCATAGGAGGCTACTTCCTGGGGTGCTTTTGTGATGTTTATAAAGACATGGAAAACACGTGGATTTGAGGGTAGCCCTGTTTGCATATGCAAATAAATCAGAAAATGTCGTGTACGTACCCTGGTTTTTTGGTGTCAGCTAATGTGACAGGTATTGTTTAACACCCCCTTATCAATATTTTTTCATGAATTCAAACACGTGAGGTTTTACTGGAAAGAAACGTGTATTGCTTTTTAATATACCGAAACTCGCTATTTCTGGGGATTGTGTAATTCTAAAAAAAATTCAGATAAATTTCAATGGTGAAATAAAAGAAGAATGCTTGGTATTAAAATATTAATTCATATCAGTAGAATTGAATGCTATCAACGACATCTGGAGAAATAGGCTTTAAAAGGTTTATATCATATCTTTGTTCGTCTGCACTTAAATTTCAAACACGACAGAATTTGTAATTTTTGCCGTAAAAATTCATAATTTCTATATACTTTAGAGACTTACCGTAAAACTTTCAGGAAACTTTCTATGAAGTCTTTTCTGCACCTTAAGTGAAATTTTATGTCGATCCCAGGTGTTGATCGAGTTTCAGAGAAATTTTCTACGTTGTTATTGATTTTTTTTTTTTTTTTAAGGAGAAGGGGGGGGGGGGTTTGACTTTTTTATTCTAAGCATTTGTTAAAGTGAGTTTGTAAATACATCTACGAACTTGAGCTGGATTGTGACCTTTGGGTCAAGGGGTCAAAGGTCAAGGTCAAAGGTCAAGGTCATCAAAGCATTTCATAAAGAAATATAAAAGTAACGGCCATATCAAGTATACAAGTCATTTGATCATTGCACGCGCGCGAAGGTGCAATGCATGAAAGCTATATCATCGTGACTACACTTTTAATGTGTTTCTATTCTTTGAATTTTGAAACGTTTCATAAAAAAAATTACGACTATATCAAGTAAATCGGTCATTTAACGCATTGCGCGCGCACACGTGCATGCAAGTCCTTGCATTCAAGTTTGATAGTAGCATAATGTAAGAATCCGTCATTATATCTATTCATATTCTAAATTTCATCCTGTTTTGTTGAGAATCAAAAAAGTTATAGGCATTTAAAGTTTAAGCCAATCAGATCGCAGCACACGTGCATGGGCGTGGTTTCTTGAAAACTTTTATATATCATAGTTTAGGACGTATTAAGGTATGATTATGTTTTAAAATTCAAAGTATTTTGTCAAAAAACAAGTAAGATATTGAGATTTTTGTTTCAGCTAATCAGAGCAAAGCGCACGTGCATGCGCGTGCATGCATGTGCATGATGACCGTAACTTCTTATAGGAGTCTATTGTGTCTGTCTATGTTCTAAATCTTATCGTGGTTGGTTGAAAAACAAGGGAGTTACAGCCATTTGAAGTTTAAGCCAATCAGATTGCAGCGCACGTGCATGCGCATGCTTTCATGACAAATGTTATACATCATGTTGTAGGACATCTTAAAGTATGCTTATATTTTAAATTTCATACCATTTCGTCAAACAACGGAAAAGATATTGAGATTTTTGTTTCAGCCAATCAGAGCGAAGCGCACGTAAATGCGCGTGAGTTCTTGCTAATTTGACAGTGTCACATTATCTACACTATTAATATATCCTTATATAATGAGTTTCAAAGCATTTCATCGGAAAATGTTAAAGTTATGGCTATATTAAATATATTAGTCATTTCAGTCATTTCACGCGCCCGCACGTGCAGGCGTATGCGCGCAAAATGACCTTCGTTCCGCACACCTACACAACACACCTATTAACCCTAAAAAGGTTTTAGCTCAGTTGGGTGAACAGTTTCTGAGAACACTCGCGGACAAAAAAGTACCGGAGAAGAAATAAGAAGAAAAAAGAATAATAATAATAATAATAACTAGATACGATCTCGTTGTGAACAACGAGTGGGTCTTCCGTTCGATTCTTGTTGAGATGAGATAAGATTTGGAATGAGATTTTCACTCTAAAGTAATGATTTTCCATAATCTGTAAAAAGACATTGAACAATAAAGACTCATAAAATCGACTTTTGGCCCCTCACGGCCCCTAATATTAGGGATCAGTCCTTTTTTCTTCAAAACATTTTAAAGCTCTTAGGATTATGAACACTTTTTTGTTCAACAACTATTCAGAGATTCTTTTTCGTTTTCGAGTTATTCGCAAAAGAAATATCTAGGGGCCAACCCTTCAACTCCCTAATGGGGACGTTTAGCGAAAAATGAAAGGTTGCATATTGTTCAGAACATGATTTTGAACATCTATTGTTCAATATTACTTATCAAAATATTTTTCATTCTCGAGATATAAAGCGTCAAAGATTTAGCGTTCTGGCCCCTTGTGGCCCTAATTAGGTACATGTACCATATAACCTGAAAATCATAATGTATAGCTGTAGATGGCTGAGATAAATTTTTTTGCTTCAGTAATGTATTACAAAATATAAACTGCTAAAGAGTTATCGATTGAAGACTTTTGGCCCCTCTTGGCCCCTAATTTGAGTGCCAAGCCCCTTTTTCTTGATTTCATCTTGAAGGTTTTAAGATTTTGAACACTTTTTGTTCAACAACTATTCAGAGATTCTTTTTCGTTTTCGATTAATTTGCAAAAAGAAATATTTAGGGGCCAATCCTTCAACTCCCTAATGGGGACGTTTAGCGAAAAATGAAAGGTTGCATATTGTTCAGAACATGATTTTGAACATCTTCTGTTCAATATTACTTATCAAAATATTTCTCATTCTCGAAATATGAAGCGTCAAAGATTTAGCGTTCTGGCCCCTTGTGACCCCTAATTAGGTACCATACAACCTGAAAATCATAATGTATAGTTGTATATGGCTGAGATAAACATTTTTGCTTCAGTAATGTATTACAAAATATAAACTGCTAAAGAGTTATCGATTGAAGACTTTTGGCCCCTCTTGGCCCCTAATTTGAGTGCCCAGCCCCTTTTTCTTGATTTCATCTTGAAGGTTTTAAGATTTTGAACACTTTTTGTTCAACAACTATTCAGAGATTCTTTTTCGTTTTCGAGTTATTTGCAAAAGAAATATTTAGGGGCCAACCCTTCAACTCCCTAATGGGAACGTTTAGCGAAAAAATGAAAGGTTGAATATTGTTCAGAACATGATTTTGAACATCTTTTGTTCAATATTACTTATCAAAATATTTCTCATTCTCGAGATATAAAGCGTCAAAGATTTAGCGTTCTGGCCCCTTGTGGCCCCTAATTAGGTACCATACGACCTGAAAATCATAATGTATAGTTGTAGATAGCTGAGATAAACATCTTTGCTTCAGTAATGTATTACAAAATATTAACTGCTAAAGAGTTATCGATTGAAGACCTTTGGCCCCTCCTGGCCCCTAATTTGAGTGCCCAGCCCCTTTTTCTTGATTCCATCTTAAAGCTTTAAGGATTTTGAACACTTTTTGTTCAACAACTATTCAGAGATTCTTTTTCGTTTTCGAGTTATTTGCAAAAGAAATATTTAGGGGCCAACCCTTCAACTCCCTAATGGGGATGTTAAGCGAAAAATGAAAGGTTGCATATTGTTTAGAACATGATTATGAACATCTTTTGTTCAATATAACTTATCAAAATATTTCTCATTCTCGAGATATAAAGCGTCAAAGATTTAGCGTTCTAGCCCCTTGTGGCCCCTAATTATGTACCATACGACCTGAAAATCATAATGTATAGTTGTAGATAGCTGAGATAAACATCTTTGCTTCAGTAATGTATTACAAAATATTAACTGCTAAAGAGTTATCGATTGAAGACTTTTGGCCCCTCTTGGCCCCTAATTTGAGCGCCCAGCCCCTTTTTCTTGATTTCATCTTGAAGGTTTTAGGATTTTGAACACTTTTTGTTCAACAACTATTCAGAGATTCTTTTTCGTTTTCGATTAATTTGCAAAAGAAATATTTAGGGGCCAACCCTTCAACTCCCTAATGGGGACGTTTAGCGAAAAATGAAAGGTTGCATATTGTTCAGAACATAATTTTGAACATCTTTTGTTCAATATTACTTATCAAAATATTTCTCATTCTCGAGATATAAAGCGTCAAAGATTTAGCGTTCTGGCCCCCTGTGGCCCCTAATTATGTACCATACGACATGAAAATTATAATGTATAGTTGTAGATGGCTGAGATAAACATCTTTGCTTCAGCAACGTATTACAAAATATTGCTTGATAAAGAGTTATCGATTAAAGACTTCTGGCCTTTTTCTGCCCCTTATGCGATGAGTCAGCGCTTTTTTCTTGATATCATTTTAAAGATCTTGTTGTTCTGCACAAATGATGTTCAATATGTTTTTACAAAATATTTATACCTTAAAAGATATGATGCAAAATGTCTACAAAAATCACTCGTGATTTGTGTCCTAAATTTTGACCCCTACCGAGCTTCCATACTAGGAACTTCCGGAAACTATCCAATCTCCCAGTAACATGGGGACATGTCTTCTATCGTCACTAAAAATTTCAGCGCTCTAGCTCAAACCGTTTTCGAGAAAATGAACGGACAAGGAGGTCCTCTGAATTTTGATAAAAGGGCGATAACTCTAGACCGGAAGTGATTTTCACAAAATCCTTCAGCCGGTATAAACTTCAGATGATTTTACAACAACCCTGAAAATTTGAAGCAAATCCATCCAACCATCTCTGAGAAATCTTCTGCACAAAATTTGTGCAGAAAAAAAGAATAATAATAATAAGAAGAAAAGTGAAAAAGAAACATAAGAATAATAGAAGGGTCTTCCGCTGAAGACGGAAGACCCTAATAAGAAACAGAGTAAAAACAATATGTTCCCAAACTTCGTTTGGGGAACATAAATATCCAGTAAAATCAGTAAAACTCTCGCACACAGGTTTATAAAAGTTCAAACAATCATAATAATAACATAGTTTTTGTTTTTATACCACATAGGGCGGTTTAATTCTTATTTCTCGAATTAAGAATATAAATGATAATAAACGCGTTAATGTCTCCCCGCCTTTCATAACAGCCGTTTCTATGGCAACTGCCATAAAGTTACTAACAAAGATACTTAAAATGTTTTTTTAATTTAAAATATTCATCAAGTGTCTATATTTTTATTTGTAATTTTCAACCAATTCCACTGAAAAATAAATAAGATATGAAGAAATTCCACGAACTTTTGGATCAACCCTCGTACATTTTATTAATACCTCTAGCATTCTTTCATTGTTTTAGATTTCTGAATGAAGAAACGTTTCAACTGTAAAATATACTTACTTAATTTATTGTGCATACATATTGCTGTGAAAATTTATATATACATATTCTTGAATTAAAAATATATTTTATGTTTTTCTCCTCTTTTTATCTAATAGATTTGGAAAACTTCCGAAGGTCAAAGTCAGAGAAATAACTCACGCTCATCTTATTAGCTATCACCCAGACCGGGATCTCCTTCCTTTGGTTATGGCAAATTGCCAATATACATTTGAAGTAGGAAAAGGCACGAAAGTGGAATACAACTTTGCAAATCTGGAAAGACAGTTATCCGATCGGTTTCTGTTTTCAAAATCCGTTATTGACCTGCATCCAAAAGAGGTTTTTTTCTTAATATATTTATGATACATTGATGTGAACATTTCTAATTCTAAGTTTTTACATCACTTTTTTTGTTTTTATCAAAATGAACTTGTCCATTTTCAGTTCGATCTAATGACATATAGGTCAGAATCAACAAATGCCAATGTTTTCCGAGAACTCAGAAAAAAGATTAAGCAGGTACAACTCGTTTTACACTTGAACACCATTTATGTATCGATCTGTTCAGAAAAACGATGCAAACATTTCCGTAGTCCTTATCATAATCGACCATGTGTTTGTTAATGAGGATGAATACAGATTCCATTCCAGAGTTGAGTAGAAATGTTTTTATAAACAATGTTGTATAATAAACAATCTTTAATAGGTTCCTTTGAACACTGCCGTGGCCAAACAGATATCCACCGAGTTCAGAAGATACCAGGATATCTGTGATGCTTTGGATAAATTGGACATTGTCATTAGATTTTTACAGTCGGTTGGAGGCCAAGGGAACACTATGCTGGACGATTTTATGCGCCACTCACTAAAAATGGAAACTACCTTTCTATCCCAGAATGTAAGGAAACATGCCAAGTTATGATACAATGTTTAAAAATCTTTTGAATGCTAGCTGGAGATTTGGTAATAATTTTTAGAGGTTTGAACGTAACTAAACGATTTATTATTCACATAACGTATATCAATATTTTCCTTTCTCTTGCCTTCAAAAGCATTTGAGAAAAAGACTATCTCTATTATTTATTTTCCTGTTTTTTTTTCACTAGTCAGTTTTTAAGCAATATCTGTTTTGTTTTTGCACCTAAAAATTCTCAAAGATCTAAAGTGTAGTTGCAAATATCTCGGTTACACTAAAAAAGTTTACAAATTGGTTATGTTTTAAAAATACAAGTATTTTACAGTTGGAGTGGCTCGACATTGTTTTACTTTTTGCGAGCATATTTTGAATAAAAAATTCTTTTTTTTTCTAAGAAACATTTAACAATATTGTTAGCTGAAAAATCTGATTCGAAATCTTCAAAAAAATCCTTAGATGAAAATGAATAAAGCAATGATTCCTTTATTTCAAAAACTTATTTGTTTGACACAGGTGCATTGTTTTGCTATTTACAAAATATTTTATATTTATGTCTTTTAATTAGATGAGAAAGACTTGTCAGTGTAAACATGTCCAGTCCCTGTGGATTATACTGGCAATGTCAAAAACCAAAAACCAAGCTACGTACAAAAAGGTAATTTTTAATTGAAAATGTTTTATCTGTCTATCCATATCTGAGAGTCATTTCTTAGTTACCTCAATAAAACAAATTTCATTTTGTTTTTCGCTGATTTTTTCCTCACCTTAATGGATGAGGGTGTATGTATTTAAAATGAAAATATTTTAACCTTTTTTATCCATGAATTTTTTCGCAACAACGTAAAGGTTAATCGATTTAAAGTCTGATTGTCTACTAATTTCGAAGTTAAATAAATACTTGGACATTTATCCAATAATTTTATTTACCAAAATGTTTTTGCTATGGTATGTACTTTCAACAAACATGATTGTCTACTAATTTCGAAGTTTAATAAAAACTTGGACATTTATCCAATAATTTTATATAAGAAAACGTTTTTGCTAGGGTATGTACTTTCAACAAACATGAACTTTAACTGCAGGATGTGTTCGAGGGAGTTTCCGATACATACAGACTGGAATTGACAGGTGCTCAAAAAGAGATTGTTAACAACATTTGTGAGGAACTATCAGTTGAGAGACTCAACACAATGATAGAAGTCTTGTATGAATGTATCGTCCTTACCATTGACAGTGGAAGTGAAAATGACATTGAAGATGGAGATGGTATTCCAATGGCTAATTACAGGTAGGTTATAAGTCGACAATTTTTTTTTATTTATTCAATAAATTCTGTCAATTGCCACACCCGAGAAAAAATATTTCAGTACGTGTACAAATGTATTACAAAATAGAATAAACTGTTACGTTTCAAAATGCATCTTAGGTACTTAACTGTTTTGTAACATTAGGGATTGAAACAAAGTTATGATCAGAGAATATGTTGCATGTTTTCACGGTGATATTGTTGATCAAAAATGAGAAGTTCAAATGACTAAAACTGTGAAATTTATTTAAGAAAGTTCATAGTACAGGTTTATTAATTCTGTGGTATTTTAGCTGATATGATCCGAAGGCTTCTTTGAGTTTTTCTGATCCAAAGCTGTCCGTATGTCTGTCTGTCGTATTTTATCAGTAAGCTATTCATATTTTCAACTTCTCAAAAATCACAAGTCAAATTTACCGAATCATGCTACAAAGCAACCTTACGCAATGTTGATTCAAAGGGAGAAACAAATTCAATATTAGTGTGAAGTGTATCTTTCACGAACTAGAGGGATTGAAAAGAAAACAACTAAAAGTAAGCTGCATTTCAAATTTTATCAATATGTTTATTCAATTTATAAGCTCATTAACTACCGACAGAACAAAAATGTTTAACATGGAATATAAAGGGAAAATGGGAAATATTATTGAAAAAAATACTCACCTTCTTAATAACAAATAAATTATTATCATGATTAAAAGAATGTATTCTTAAGGAGGGAAGATTAGGGTTTGTTCAAATCATTACTTACTTCTGGGGATACATGCAGGGTGGAGCCGCAACAGAACATAAACGTTTCCATAGTACAATGTAATATGTAGGAAAAAACTAAGGAACAAGAAATTCATCTATAAATATAGAAGCATCTTCAGATAGTGGAGTTTTAAGCTATGAAAGCATGACCTGTAAAGGGTGTGTTCACAACAGGGCATCACATTTTACCTGAAGAGTATACCTTTAAATGTATTTCTTAAGAACAGTAAAATTATAGTCATATGAATACAAAAGCGTCATCAGGTAGCGGAGATTCCATTTCTTTCTCAAATCATGATCCCTAAGGTAAGGATGGTACCACATGTATATTTTTATCAAACTCTTAAATCATTTAAGAAAGTAATAAAGCCTATTTCGTGCCAACTTTTCTGAAACATATATAAATCTAAGGCCGATGAAGTTGTTACCATGATATTTACATGGTTTTAAAAACTGGTATTTTTCTGTCAAACAGTATCCGGGATACGTTAATGGTATACGTGGAAGACCCAGCCTATGATGTCGATGATACCTTCCTTCCGGATTGGATCAATGAAACGCTGAACAAACTTCCGGGAGACAAAGAAGAACCCGATTGTATTTTTACGTGTCAGTCCATGGATCTCTGGATTTGCCTTTATGAAAACTATTCAAAGAGGAAAATCTGAGCACATAGACAAAGAATATTGTTTGGTGAAATGAAACTTTAAATATGATGAATTTAAGTTTTTTGTATTAAATGGAACACTTATTGTATGAATTACATGTAAACAACATATTCATGTTACTGTAAAAAAATTATTTATTCAAAACAAACAAGAAGTATGATAATTGCCTTTTTGCTGAACCTCCCTATTTATTACTCATATTGCATTTAACGGAAAGAAAAATACTAAGTAATTAAAAGAATAAATGTTTGGTTCGCAACTAAGAGATATGTTGTTTAAATTCAATAGATCAGTATTAATCAAACTTTTTGTGAACAATAAAACATGAACAGAAAAGATTAGTTGAGAAATTGTAGTAAAGAAACCACCCTACTTTCATTTTCTTTTTGTTTTGAGTAGTGAAGTCCATTGTGTGACCATAATACTAACCTCAAATGCTAAAATATAATAATAATATATTTCCAACTTTTCCCCTAAATTAATGTATCAATTTTTAAGTCATTTACTGCATACATTACAGTCTAATACGATAAGAAACGATTTACTTTATTTCAATTATCCATTAAATGACTCTCTTACATGTAAATTTGCAGTAGCCTTTTGTGTACATTCTTTTGTTTTGTGCTTGAGTTTATCTTATAAATGATATAGAGCTGAATATGATGAGAAGATGAAATACCACCTTAAAAGCATCTTGAAAGATCAGAATTTTATAAACAATGTTTATAGACTGGAAATTAAATAGCAGTACTCGGACGTTCATGGTGATGGAGATGGTGTTTATAAAGTGTTTAAAAAATTGACTTAATATCTTAAATATATACATGTATATATTGTAGATTTACATGTAAGGAACAGATGTCTATGTGAGAAAGAAATAATAATCCATGAAGTTTGTTGTAAAATTACGCTATTATTTAAAGATTACTGATATGCATATGATAAAATTAATTGTCTTTGTTGCCTTATGTTAAGTTGGTATGAGGAGTTATTTTCTTGCAAAAAAATAACACGATTTGTTGAAAGATATATGATTTTGTTTGGAAAACCAATGTATACTGATATATCAAATAGTATAAAACATTGATAAAGGTCAGTGCAGATGTCTTTGTTTCAGAAAGGTCTGAATCGGTTTTCTTTGCATTAATTAATTAATATAGGATTGTTAAACATATTTTATGCCTTTCAATTTTTAACCATCAGTCATGATGGTGTGATGATTTCGAAAATATATTGACGCTAATTAAAACTATAATTTGGAGGTCTTGGTGAGCTATATCTTGATATTTTCTATACAAAATATATATTTGGAGCTTGCATACTTGCGCTTTTCATGATAATCTAATAAAATGTGCTTTTAATTGGATTGTTTTCGCATCTTTTTTACAACGTAGAATCTACATGTGCAGCTGTATACATGGCTCCATTCAATTTATTGTATTATTTTTGTACCAGGGTTGATCCGAAAGTAATATCACAACTACTTCATGTAGAAGCAAATATACTTTGAAAATTCGGGAAGTTTCTAGTCTGCTGGGGCGACTTCGATTCGTCCCCGAGTACGTACTCGAGTTACTTGAGTTTCAATCGAACGACCATAGCTACTACTCAAAATACGTCATATGACCTTATGAACTCTACCCAAGCTAACCCAGCCATCAGTAAGATTACTAGAGTTTCGATATGGCGGCGTCGAAAGAAAAACCCGAACGTAGGAATTATTTTTTACTAAATATTATGTTTTGCATCGCTTATCCTTAAAAGCAAACTTCGAAACGCACTTTCTACATGAACGCTTTATAATTTATATGAAATATATATGTTTATTTGATTAGATTTTTCAGGCTTACTGCTCAATAACAGCAGAGACATAAATTCAAATTCGAAACCAAAAAAGTTCAGAGCTGAAAACGAAAAACATTTCAACTGCAGCAAAAGCTATAGAAAAAATTAACTCAACAGATGATGTCAAAATGGACCTATTCGACCGCCTTTTAAAACTCATAGAGGAAATTTATTTTATTTTCGCTACCCTTCAAACTCATATGAGTTCGCTTGAAAACCACATGTTTGTGTAAACATCCGGTCATGTGACGTCAACCAAGAGTTAATACTCGGGTATGAATCGAAGTCGCCCCTGGTTACCAAAATCACGTGACTGCGCATGAGCGGTTCCCTTGCCGTTGCTATGCATAATGTAAATAAATCGCCATTTTCTCCTCGCTTCAACGAAACGCATTCGATCGAATGCATTGGGTAACAATGAAATACCGGTATAAAAATAAAAATTAAAATTTACTTACCTTAGATATCAAAATCATCCATGCTGTCAATACTATTGGGAGACACAATAGGCCATAGCACATTTTGATGTTTCTTGGGCGATGTAGGTTGAGATTTGTCACAAGTAAGTCAGGGGATGAGAATTGCGGGAGGGGAAGGGTGGGTTGTACATAGACTTTATAAAATTTAGAAATTTTAGAAATGGATCTGAGGAGTCTTTTAGCTATTTTTACGTATATGTGTTCAGGCAAAAATTAATGTCATAGAGAGATTTTACAGTACCGCTCACTGGCAATGATTTTTTTTTATCATTGCTCTCCAAGTTAACTCGATCGTGTTTGTGTGTGCACCAGTGGTATGATCAACAAAATGCAGAGAATGTCATATACTTTCCAGCAGTCAGATATTATAGTAGTTCCAGGCAAAATATTCTGTTTGATGATGCTGAGTAATGTTTCTCTAGAACGATCTGTCACGGTCATGAAAAAAACCCACTTCTTTGATCCTCTATATATTCCTCCAAACAACCACACGCCTTCAACTTTTCGTCCTTTATGACATTTTCTTTTTCCAAATTGCTCTCGTCTATTAATAACTTTCCCTCTCCTCCTATCTATCAGATTTCTTTTCTAATACACAGGTTCAAAACTCCCGTGAAAAATTGAACCAGTAGACAATGGTTTTTGCTAGCAATTTCAAATTTGTGTCTGATAGATATTTCACTTACTTTGTGCGCCCACAAATTAGTTATTAAAAGAAATTTTTTCCAGAATTAATTTATGTTTCTTGAACTAGCTCCCAACTGTTAAAGACCCTTTCTTGTTCGAGCATTTTTTGTGAAATCAATCATAACATTTAGTCCAATTAATAACCACTGAATTAAACAAGCTTAATCGGCGCTTTTCTAGTAAATATTCTTTAACTTCACCGGCATTTCATACAATCAGCTGTTTCTGTTTACAAATAACGACACATTTTAGTTTACCAGTGACGAAAATCTCATGAATATTAATCAATTTCTACAGAACGCACTCGAAACAACTTAGAAGTTGACGACATAAAAAGTCGATATTACAAGAATTTAAAGTGTTTAGAAACGTTTTTTCAAACCTCATGTTTTACAAGGAATTCATTTCTGGGCTTATTTTGACGAATATTGCCCTTTTTATTGACACAATCGCTTTATAATAATACACTGCTTTCGGCGGCACATATTTTAGCGCCAAGGGGACCGGCATACTAGATGTGTTCTGAATATTTCTCTAGTCAGAAACCAGAGAGGAATCCTGCCTAAAAGAAAATTAAAATACAATCTTATGTTAAGAACAATTCATTCTTTTTATAATAATGTTGTTTTTGTCACAGCGGTTAAAACACAACAGAATCAAAGCAAAAAATTACGAGTTTGTTGAAGTTTGTTTCTTGATTACGGGGTTAAAAAAGCAAATCTTAGGTATATTTAATGTGATTTATTAAAAAAAGAGGATTATAGTGATGCCTGTTGATAATATGGTCATCATTTTTTTCCCAAAGAAGGCAAGCAACCATCTCTTTGTCCGGGTCAGAATTTCATCTGACATTGTAAACAACATAACGGAATGAAAATACGAGCAATAAACAAAGTTGTTTCAGGGAACATTGCTTTATTAACAACTTCATCCTTGCAGGCATATTTTAAAACCATAATTTCCGTCGCCTGCGACGTGCACTGGTAAGTGTGTCTGTTCTACAATCGTGGAGTAGGACCTGATCAAAAATCACAGATTCGAGTCCTCTGAGGGACTTGGAGACCAGTCAGTCGGATGAGACTGTATAAACTATCAGAATACTGTAAACCAACTTTTATTCGAGTGCGAGAAATTTTCGCGAAGTTCGCGACAGCCTCTTCATCGTGAATATTTCTCGCCGCGAATCAGTCCTGAAAGTCTCTTTGTCTTTTAACAACTGATTTTAAAAAAATGCTTGATTGCGAAAGTTAATCGTCGCGAAATAATTTAACCTCAGTAAATCGCGAAATAAAGTCGTCGCGAATAAAAGTAGGTTTACAGTAGTTGTTTGTACGGAAGAGTTCCCTCATTGCTCAATGGTCCTCAGTGTCGAGAATGGGTATATATAAATTTGCAGCCTTCCGTGGTGGCTTATCCATATGAGTGAAAAATAATACGGAGCGGCATTAAACAACAAATAAACAAACCAAAAACCATGAGTTTGGAATACATGTATGTTATTGTCTGCAGAGATAATGTTGTTCATAACATCATGATCACTGAAAAAGGATAATGCTCTTTGCGCCCTAAAGCAAGGAATCAAACTCGTGATCTCTGTTTACATAGTCTTCTGTAAGTATGTGTTAAGTATTATGCTATTATAGCTATGATTTTCTATCTGGTCCATATAAGTAAATATAAAAATAGATAAAATGACTCAAAAATGTTAACTCAGCTATTTGTTGATTTTAATTTGTAATATTAAAAAGAATTTCACATACATAAACATTGCATGAAACATATTAAAGTAAATAAATAAATACAACTGAAGCACAAAAAACCCAATCTACACCAAGAGGTTAATTTGATAATCAAAAGCAGTATATATTTGGTTCCAAAGCAAAAAAGTACAATATTAAGACTTCATTAAAATTAATTATGTTAATCAATATGTTGATTTACAGCTGTGTGTTGTGGAAATCTTTTTGAAAGTATCATTTAAAAATGTTATGGATATTTCCTCTGTTGATTTCATTGAGTAAATCTAGTTTTGTACAATGTAAGTTTTTTTTTTGGATTATTTAAGAAATAAAGTCAATTTAAGAAATAAAGTATTTAAGAAATGAAGTCCTCGATCTCGAATTGTTGTTTGAAATATAAAAGCCTCGGCTAACGCCTCGGCTTTTATCTTTCAAACAACATTTCTCGACCTCGGAGGTTATTCTGCATCATTCACGAAAACAAGGACTTTATTTCTATTCTGCTACATGTAGTTAGCAGCCCTAAAATAAGACTAATCGTTTTTCTATAGAAAATCGAATTAGGTCACCATGCTGCTTTAAAGCTGTTCCATTTAACACCAGAGTGTAAATTAGTTTGTTTACCTGTGAATACAGTGCAGACAATTTGAGCTTTCCCGTGTCCATACCTGTAACGGTACATAAACTCGTAAAGTTGGGTAAGGCTAATTTTAATGCAGCGAAAGCTCAAATGTACCGAACGGTACATAAACTCGTCCAGAATGTAAGGTAGTTTACAGGGTAGAAGTCCTTTCATTTTTTTAATTTTTTTATTTTTAATTTTGCTAAAGACCAAAGACCCTTTGGGTTAGTCCTCCACTAATATGTGTGATTAGGGTTAGTCTCGCACTAATTACTGTGATTAGGGTTAGTTTAATTTTAATAAATGTACAAAGAGAATATGTACCAGGTCCACATTATAACACATGGAAAGTGTCAATCGCCAAGCTATCTCAGGTCTACAGTAAAGCACACCGGAAGTATCATCTGTCAACCTTCTAAAGGTCCACAGTATAACATATGGAAAGTGTCAACCATCGACCTGTTCCCGGTCGACAATAGAGGAAATGGAAAATGTCAATTGTCAACCGTCGACCTGTCCCTGGTCGACACTAGAACACAAGGGAAGTGTCAACCGTCGACCTGTCCCTGGTCGACAGTAGAACATACTAAAAGTGTCAACTGTCAACCGTCGACCTGTCCCCGGTCGGCAATAGAACATATGGGAAGTGTCAACTGTCAACCGTCGACCTGTCCTAGGTCGACAATAGAACACATGGGAAGTGTCAACTGTCAACCGTCGACCTGCCCCCGGTCGACAGTAGAAAATGAAGAAATAAATAATTCTGTAAAATTACTACGATAAACAATGATGTATGAATATCTTTATATTGTTTTAGTCAAAGAACTACTTTACCCCCTTGCGAGGTGAAATTCATAATTTCAGGAACTTTTATGAATCGTTCATGAACATTCATGATGTGTTCATGAATGGTTCATGACTGGTTCATAAAGATGGTTCATGAACTTTATTCATGAATATATTCATAAAATGTAGTTCATGAACAAATG